GATCTTTCTGATCTCTGTTGCAATGTTTCCCCTTTCATCTCTGATTTTGTTGATTTGGAGGTGCTCTTTCTTTCTTTCTTTTGGTTAACTAGGCTAGCGGTCTGTCAATCTTGTTTATCTTTTCAAAAGAACCAGCTCTTGGATTTGTTGATTCTTTGTATTGTTTTCTTTGTTTCAATTTCATTAATTTCTGCCCTGATTTTTGTTATTTCATCTTGTCTGCTGGGTTTGGGTTTCATTTGCTGTTGCTTTTCAAGTGTTTTGAGTTGCAATGTTAAGTCATTTATTTGTGTTTTTTCTGATTTTTTAATGTAGGCACTTAGAGCTATAAATTTCCCTCTAAGGACACCTTTCAGTGTGTCCCAGAGGTTTGCTGTGTTGTATTGTCCTTTCCATTTAGTTCCAGGAATTCTTTTATTTCTTTCTTAATTTCTCTTTTGACCCATTCATGATTCAGGAGTGTGTTGTTTAATATTCGTGTGTTCATGTGGTGACTAGGGCTTCTTCCGGTGTTGATTGTAACTTTATTGCATTGTGGTCTGATAGAATGTATGGAATTATTTCAGTCTTTTTGTATTTGTTGAGGTTTGTTTTGTGCCCCAGTATATGGTCGATTTTGGAGGTGGTTCCATGGGGCACTGAATAGAAAGTATGTCCTTAGGTGCTTGGGTGGAATGCTCAATAGATATCTGTTAGGTCCATTCGATATATGGTATTGTTTAATTCAGATGTCTCTCTGTTAACTCTCTGCCCTGTTGACCTATCTAATGGAGAAAGTGGGGTACTGAAGTCCCGTGTCATTAATGAGTTGGGATTAATCTGGGACTTAATGTCCTGTAGGACTGTTTTTATGAAGTTGGGTGCACCAGAGTTTGGTGAACATATGTTCATGATTGTAATATCTTCTTGGTTTATTGTTCCTTTTATCAGAATGAAGTGGCCCTCTTTATCTTTTCTGATTAGTTTTGGTTTAAAGTCTATTTTATTAGATATTGGAATTGCAACACCTGTTTTTTTCTTAGTACCATTTGCCTGGTATATTTTTTTCCATCCTTTCACCCTAAGGTAGTGCCTGTCCTTGAAAGTGAAATGAGTTTCTTGCAGACAACAAAAAAAAATTGGTTTTATTTCTTAACCCATTCACCTAGTCTGTGTCTTTTGACTGGGGAGTTCATTCTATTGATATTTAAAGTTATTAATGAAAGATGTGTATTGAATCCTGTCATTTTGATTTCTGTCTGTATTCTTGATATAGCTGTACTTTTCCACAGTTATACCTTCATTGAATTTCTTTCCACAGCCCCTTGGGTACAGTCATTCCCTTCTTCAGCTCCTTGTATTGCTTCCAGAGCTCTCTGAAGGGCTGGTTTCATGGACATGAATTCATTCAGCCTATTTATGTCGTTCAAGGTTTTTCTTTCCCCTTCTACTATAATAGACATTTTGGCTGTGTATAGTAATCTGGGTTGGCATCTGTGGTCATTTAAAACTGGGAATACATGGTTTAGCTTTATCTTTAATACTTTGGCAGGCTCTTTTGGCCTTCATAGTTTGCATTGAGAAGTCATCTGTATTTCTGATGGGTTTTCCTTGTTTTTTTCTTGTGGCTTTCAGTATTGTCTCTTTGTTCTGTACATTTAGTGTTTTTACTGGAATATGCCGTGGAGAGTTTCTTTTCTGGTCCTGTCTGTTTCGTGTTCTATATGCTTCTTATATTTGTTTGGACATGTCTTTCTTTAATTTTGTGAAATTGTCTTCTACGATTCTGTTAAAGATCTGGTCCATACCACTATCTTGCAATTCTTCTCATTCCTTTATGCTTATGATTCATAAGTTTGGCATTTATAAGTTTGATTCTTTTTATGGTGTCACACAATCCCTGCATATTCCGTTCTTGAGATTTCTTAAATTTTTATAATCTTTGCTTGAGTAGTCTTGTTCGTCAACTTTATCTTCCAGTCTTGATATTCTGTTTTCTACTTCATTCATCGTATTGGATTCATTCATCCTGTCATTTCTAATTGTCTTACTGAATGTTTCACTTCCTTCTTCATTTCAGCCTGAGTAGTCTTCAGTATTTCTTGCTCTTTTCTGAATTCATTCAGAAGTTTATCCCTATATTCCTTCAGTTCTTTGATTTCTTTGTTTGTGTGTTCTTTAAATTCACTGAATTCTTTTATCATATTCATCATTGTTCTTTTGAGTTCCATGTCCTGCATTGTCTCTAAGGGGTTCTCATTGTGTTCCTCTAGAGGATTACTGGTATTTGGTGGGGATATGTTATTTTGGTTTTTCATGTTATTATTTTTTCTCTGTGATTTTGACATGTGAACTTCTTTTGTAGTTTCTGATTCTTGTGTGAGACTCAGCTTTCAAGTTTAGGACTGCTTCTTTTTGTAAACTTTATGTGCCTTTGTGGTTTACTTTGGGGGCATGAAAAGCTGGTTTGTCTAAGCTTTTGGTTCTCTCTTTCGATTTTATATTGGAGTGGCCAAGTTGCTTTTGTCTTCAGAGGTTCTCACAGAGGCCCAAGTCAGATGAGGTCAGATGCTCTCAGGCTTTCTCCTAAGGTGTGGATCCCTCCAGGAAAGATGTTGTCCTCAGAAATTTTGGGGTTGGACTGGCCTGGGAGTAGGGGCCAGGAAAAATGCTGGTCTCAGGCAGCTGGTGGCTGTGCCACCCAGGAATGCAAAGGAAGGTGGGGACAGGAAGAGGACCCAAGGGCTCCTGGGGACTGCAGGGAGGAACTGGGTTAGTCTGGATGGAAAGGATCAGGAAGCAGTGGTGGCTCCAAGCAGAGAGGTCAGCCCTGGTGTCTGGGGTACCAAGATAAGAAATGGGCCAGTACCCAGGCTAGGCAGAGAGATGGAGGCAGGGGTGCTGGAAGGGTGAATGAGGCTGGGGGAGTCAAGGCACGGTGGACTTACCCAGGAGAGAGGTTTGTGGGTTGTGCAGCCCAGGGAAGCAGACGGAGGTGAGGGTGGCACCAAGTCCAGAGGGCTCCTGGTGAGCAGGAGAGAGGCTGGCAGGTTGTGCAGTCCAGGGAAGGTGTTGTCATTTTTTAAATGTCCAAATGACAAAGAGGTGAGATTCCCCAAGTATGAGTTGTTAGTTCACAGATTTTTCTCCTCCTTAGTCATTTCTGGAGGTCTCAAAGGTACAATTTACTGGGCTCATAAAACAGTCTGCCTCTTAAAACTAATGTGTGGCACCCCCCTTTCCTTTCCTGTACCATCTCTCAGTGGCAGGACACAGAAGCCTCCATGATGCCCACGGAGGAACTTTCTGTTACTGTAATCCCTCATGAGATCACGAAGTCCCTGCTCACACTCAGGACATTTTGTTTTGCTGTTCTGAAACTCCTCATGCTTGTTGTTCCAGAAACATTTCAACACTTTTTATGAAGGTTCAATTCCAAGCCAGTAAACTGTAGTCTGTCTTTTTATCCCTCTGTATGCCACATAATCAGATCATTAAAGAAATAAACGACCTCTTGAGTGAAGGCTGAGATCCCTGTTCTGTCTGGTCAAGGGCTTTGCACTTTTTTAACCCTAATAATGCTCAAGCATTTTAATCAGAAATTCAACAAACCAAGGGACATGTTCTAAACAGAAGTAGTATGCTACAGTTTCTATCTAGAATGTCCCCCAAAGGTCCAGTGTTAAATTCTTGATCACCATCCTGTTGCACTGTTGGGAGACAGTGAAACCTTTAAGAGCTTGAGCCTGGGGAGAAGACTTAGGCCATTGTGAGTTGTGCCCTTGAAAGGGATTGTGGAACTTTGGCCCTATCCTCTTTCTCTCTCTTCTTCCTGTCTTGTGATGGAAGTGTCGTGTGTTACCACCCTGATGTGCTGCCTCATCCAGGCTCCAAAACAAGAGGACTAACTAGAGATAGAAGTCTCCTAACAAACCATTTCTTTTTATAAGTTGATTCATCTCAAGTATTTGTGGAAAGTGGCTAACACACTGTCTAAATTTAAGGTATATAAGCAACTTCCTCAAAATAACCTCTCTTAAGATCATCACTGATCTTGAAATCAAATAGTTTTATGAGTAAGAAATTGCTCTCAGTTTTCTGACTCCTAACATATTATTTCTCCCAGAAATGTGAATACCTGGGCTTTCTGACTAAAAAGGTTTTGCTAATCATGTTATTGACCAATATATTAATATATTAAATACTGATTTTGAATCTGTTATATGGATTTCTTTTGAGCTATGATCTTTTGCTTTTATTTTATATTTTGTCCATAGTGATTGTTAACACTATTAAAATCAATTCATGTAGTTATGTGATCCATCAATTAGGAAAGTTACTTTCTGGGTTTTTTTGCTCTGTTGCATATGCCCAAATGTCTAAGCATAAGAGTTGGGCATTCCAGAAAGCCATTGAAATACATCATGCCTCTCTCTTCTCTAACCTTTTCTAGATTCCTTCCTTTCACCACATCTATTACACTTATTTATTTCCTTGAATTATATATAATATATAATTTAACATATTGTATTTAATATATAACATACAGCATATAAGGGGTAACATGTATGTCTTTTGCAGAGATCATTTAGGAATGATATTTCCTTTTCTTTCAAAGATCAAAGAAAATGCTCTTGGTGAACTGTTTTATACATGGCACATCATTTACAATCATTAGTCTCTTTCTAATCCCCATTCCATGCTCTTACTGTACATTCCAGTGTATACATAAGCCTGAGATCCTCATGTCTCTGCCTCCCAAGTGCTGGGATGGGGCTTGTGCCACAAAACTCAGCTTACAAATTATTTGTTGTTCTTGCTGCTTTCATTTTTGGTTTTTGAGACAAGATCTCACTGTGTAGCCTGGTCTGCCTGGAACTCAGTATGTAAAACAGACTGGCCTTGAACTCACAGAGATCTGCCTGGCTCTGCCTCCAGAGTGCTGTGATTAATGGCATGTGCCTTCATGCTTAGCCTACAATGATTGTTAAGAGAGAGAAACTGTTTTTGCCTTGCCACAGAGCACAGTGTCTGAGCACCTTGAGAAGTGCTATTCCAGAGACCAGATCTACATCTATGTGGGAGACATGCTCATTGCTCTCAACCCTTTCCAGAGCCTGGGTCTTTATTCCACAAAGGTATGTGATGAGACTTGCATTCCTACTTTGAAAAAATAATAATAGGAGTCAAATTCTTAGTTTAAATGGATAGCAGTGAAATTTTATCCAGCACTTGGAGAAATTGTTATATTTTTATCATTCAAACATAGACATAAGAAAATTTTATGAAATCAGTCTACATGCAATTTGTGATCTTTTTTCAAAAATATGTGTGAGACTGTTAATTGCACGCAGTTGCTAGTAACAGACCCATGCTATGTAGCACTTCTCTAAATGGTGTCTAAAAATGAGCACATTTAAAGTCTGCCTCTGAACCGGGTACTAGAGAGTCCAAAATATAGCTACATTGTTTATGTATAGAATATATACTAAAGGCTGTAAAACTTGTCATTATAAATTTTTAAATTCCTTTCCACATATTAATTGGTTCATTAATATCACAAAATGTATGCTTTATGAATACAAGTGCATAATTATCCATTACTCAGCCCTTAATAATTTAAATGTAGACTTAAATTTGACTGTTTTTCATTTTTAATTAGATCCATTGTCCTCTAGCTATCTGTGAACTCTAGAACATTATTTAATGGTATGTGTAATAGTTTGATTTGAATGTCAACCTAAACAGGCTAATGATACATTCACCAGCATTGACCTAGATTACAAAAGAGGTTGGGCTTCAGTAAAATTCTCCTATCAACTTTATATAAATCAAGACAATACAGATTAAATCAAGTGATAGTGATGACATATCAGACATTATTTTATCCAAGGAGTGGTCAATAGAATGATGTCTGATCATCTTATTAATAAAGTATTTTTCATTTAATAATAGCATCTTGAAGCTTTAAGCTCTACTTCAGAAATAGTGTGTGGAATCTTTAACTACCACTTCTCTATCGTTCCATGTTATGTCCTATACATGGGTTGCTTCATGCATACATATCACATACATGCATACATACTATGTGTGAACAATGTTTTGCTGGTATGGATTTTATTTATCTTTTGTTTTCAAAACTAGAACCGTATTATAAATAGTATACAGATTAGATAAAAATAGAAACAAAACTAAAAAGCACTACAAAATCTATTTATTTTAACTTCAGCTTTCTAAGTTGTATATTGGAGCAAAGAGAACGGCCAACCCCCCTCACATTTTTGCAATGGCTGACTTAGGATACCAATCTATGATCACTTATAACTCAGACCAGGTAAGGCAGACCTCCTGCACCCATCCCTCACATCCCAGCTGTGATTGAGTTTCCTGAGGATGTTCACTGTTTCCTTTGCCTCCTGCAGTGCATCGTTATTTCTGGAGAAAGTGGTGCTGGGAAGACAGAGAGTGCTCATCTTTTAGTTCAGCAGCTCACGGTACTTGGGAAGGTAGACATTTTTTCCTGTTCTAACACATGTATTTGTTGTATTTGAAATAGTTGATTATTTTAGTATTCACTAATTCCTACACTTAAAATGCATAGAAACCATAAAACACAATTGTTATCATTTGAGTTTAAAATATACCAAGCAATATTTTGAAAGCGTATACTCTGTTTTGAAAATCTTCTTACTTTTCCTACTCTTGTGCAACAAGCCCTTACAAGTTTTTTCTCTCTCTCTCTAACCTCAGTGCACTTGCTAAATGCTTGACTAACAATGATCAATTACAGGTGAAAGCTGGAAATTACTGTGTATAAAGCATCAAAAGAAGAAAGAAAAGGAAACGACTTAATTGTATAGTTCTAAATCTTATAAAATCAGTGGAGGATTAAAAATGTAAAAGCTAAATAAATAGATTACCATGCTTATGAATTTTGACTCACAGTTATTAAAATTTTAATCCTCCACAAACTGATTTGCAGAGTCAGTGCAACTACGATAAAAATCTCAGAAGTTTTTAGTGAAGATTGGCATGCTGAGTCAAAAAAGGTTGGTACAAAAAGAAGACAATTACAATAGGCAAGTGATATTGAAAAAGAACAAAGTTGAGTATTCTATATTATTTCCAAAGTTGCTGTGAAGTTGCAGTGACCAAGAAATTTGTCATCAAGGAAGAGTTACAAACAGACTCATGGGACACATTATAGTCTATACATATTTATTTTTGTCAAAGATGGTTGTTCAATTAACGAAGAATTAATTTTCAACAAATAGTTGGAGATTCATGTATGCTCATGCACACAAGTAAACTTCAGTCTAGACCTCACAGAATACAGAAAACTAACTCAGAAGTACGAATGCAAAGCCACAAACCATAAACTTTCAGGAAGAAAAGGCAGGGAAATTTTTATAATCTTAAATAGTGAAAGAATTTGTAGATATTATACAAAATATACAATTCACAGAAAGAATTATTGGATTTTACCAAAACTAAGAATTTCTCTTCTCTGATGGTACTGTTAAATATTAAAATAAATACTAACATAAACCAATCCTCTGACAACATGGTTACAATCAAATAACTAATAAAGATGTATCTATTTTTATATAGAATTATAAAAGAACTTAAGCCCAATATTAAGAAACTAAATGACAAAAAATGGACAAGAAAAACTGAGCTGTCACCTCTACTTTTATATGGCAAATAAAAGTGATTCAACATCAGTAGTTATCTGGAAAATGTTAAGAATTAGATTAAAAACCTTCAAACACCTATTAAACTGGCTAAAAAAGTATTTTAAGAATCTGACAAAATGAAGTGTTTACATAGCTCTGGAACAGCTGGAACTCATATATTACTAATGAGAGGGGAAAACGGTCATCAATAATAATAGTACTAGAGTCAATGCAATCACTTTGGAAAACAGTTTGGATATTTCTTATAAAGTCAAATTACATTTGCCATGCAACCCAGCAATTCTCTTCTTATTATTTGAGGAAATGAAAACCCATGTTCATATAAAAACATATGCAAAGATTTATAGTGACTTTATTAATACGCTCCAGAATAGACAAACTATAGAGGTAGGATCCTGCCTCACAGGTTGAATGATTGCTTATCATACTCAAAGTCCTGGTTTCCATTTCCAACATCATAAACCAAAAAACATCTTGTCTGACTCATAGCTAACAACCCATATAGTACAGTAGAATATTATTTAGTAATAAAAACAGCAAACATAGGCTAATAGCTTTTTTTTAAGGAAAAATTATTGTTTGCAACTTACTCTTCTTAAAATTAAAGTCACATTAAAATTTTTGCCAGGACTGATTGGAGAAGTCTTAAGCTACAAGCATCATTGGTGTAGGAGCAGACCTTAATCTCTGTAGGAGACTAAAGTCACACAGTGAAAAACAGCTGCTCAAGGGAGTCTAATTTATTTTCAGAATTATGAGTCAAAAGAATTGCACGTTTCTGTTAAAATTCAATGAACTTCCTTCAATATATCCTACCACTTCTGTTGGTAAGGAATAAAAATATATTCCTTACGTTAATATGACCTTTACCCTCCAGAACTGTGGCCCCTCGGGATGGATAAGGCAATAGAGAACAGGAGTGTGGTGCTACGCAAGGCTCTCACACCAGTCCCTTGGACACCTGTCCTGTGTCCAGGCCCATTAGCCCTCTCTACAATAAATACCATTTTAAAAGGCTTGAAGCACGCTGAATCAAGATATGTAAATATAGAATGTGAGAAGAGGAGTGAGGCATGGCATTCTACTGAGGCATGGAAGAGCTGAGCATGGAAACTAATTTTCGCCAGCGCCATCTGCAAGGCCTTCCCCAGTCTGTCTTGATTTGCCGGCTGATAGAGGTTTTCAATAATGGAGATGCTGCATGGGAATGTTGGCTTGTAGATGTCAGCAAACTTTTATCTAATCTGTATCTTGTACTAGGTCTTAAAATGTGATTCAATGGTGTGTGTGTGTGTGTGTGTGTGTGTGTGTGTGTGTGTGTGTACACCAGGAGTCAATTCTACCCTTATCAGGTCCTGTCTTGATTTTTACTTATGTCCCTGATAAAGATTTAACAGATGTACAATGGGATGTTTAATGGATAGAATTTTCCATTGGAATGTATCGTTTTCTCCTCACTTAGCTATTTAATAAGCAGGTCCACGGAGACATTATCTTGCCTTACCATCGGTAGAAGGCAATGCGAACCAAGTGTGAGAGAGCCCGTTTAGCGGATGTCCACTACTCCCTTCTCTCTCCCCTCATTGCCTCTTTCAGAGGACAGGCAGGCCCCCACACCTTCCATGAGATAGCCCCCTGGTCTACTCAGAGCCTAGCATAGCCTGTGTTCTGAATAGCTCCTGCTCTACTCTCTCGTCTTGGGATCTATGCCCTTAATGCAGTTTGTCTCCGTGAGGTTTTGGGTTTATCACTGACAATAATCCCCGTGAGCTCATTTCCACCAAGATGCAAGTGACCCATAGCCTAGTCTCTAAGGGGACAGGGTGTGGACATGCTTTTCCAAGAGATGGGGTCGGGTGAATTAGAGGGGCATAGCCAGGGAGGCTGCGAGCCTTGCCTGGGGCTCCACGCTTCCCGCCGACACTGCTCAACTCCTCTGAGTGCTTCCCATTTCCTTCCCTCTACTTCAGAATTCACAAGATACCTTCATTCTCTTACTTTCAGGCTTAGCAGCATCTACAGAAGCAAGAAAAGTGGCTCTGGCTTTGGAGAAGATTTAGATGTAATCCCAGATTATTTTATTGAAAGTAGGGATAACGTGAGAGGTGTATCTCAGTATGTGTAGACTGCTTATGGGTTCTGTTTCCAAGTCAGGCCCTGCACAGATCTATGTTCTAAGAAAGTGAGGGAATGCTCGCAGGGGAGAGGGATGTAGACGTCACTCCAATATCTGGCAGTACATAAAAAAATTGCCCTCCTGTGTTTCTGTTTACATATGAAGCACTTATCAAATAAGAGACATTTATTGGAGACAAACTTCACTTTGATATTGTTTTTTATATCTCCACGCCCAGGCTAATAACAGAACACTACAAGAGAAGATTTTACAAGTGAACAACTTGGTCGAAGCCTTTGGCAATGCCTGCACTAACATAAATGACAACTCCAGCCGATTTGGAAAATACTTAGAAATGAAATTTACCTCTTCTGGAGTTGTGGTGGGAGCACAGATTTCTGAATACCTTCTAGAAAAATCCCGTGTCATTCACCAAGCCATGTAAGTTCATGTCTGATATACTTGAGCTCCTGGGACATAGAAGCAAGAACAATGCTTAATTAAATATTTAATTAAAAGGCCTTTCTTATTCAACAGTTTGCTGATAACCTACTGTGTGCAAAGCACTTACTACTAGAAATAAAGAGGTCCCTCTGCACTGTCCTATTCTCACATGTATAGCATCCAGTAGAAGAATTAAAAATAACCTAAAAATTATACTACCAAAGAGAAAATCAAAGCTGAGTAAAAGGGTGCACACAGGAAAAACATATTTCTCCAGGCAAAATCAATGTGAAATTTAATTAGGAATAATCAACTCAGTTTCTCTTTTAAATGAAAATGTTTCTCTTTTGCTAATATACTTGGACATTTGTATTAGTTCTCTTCTTCCAGTATTTATCCACAAGAGACCAAATAAAAGATTCAGGAATGGTCTGTTGTATGACTATTTTTCTTGCTAATTGATTTAATGCAATACTATTCATACTGGGTTTCTACTTAAGTGTATGAATGTTTTGCCCACATGTATATAACTGCACCACATGTGTGCAGTGTCCTTGGAGGCCAGAAAAAGGCATTGGATCCCTTGGAACTGGAGTTACAGAGGATTGTAAGCATCCATGTGGGTGCTAGGAACTAAACCCAGGTCCTCCACAAAAATAGCAAGTGCTTTTAACCACTCCAGGCCCCATTCATGTTCTTTTAAGTTTCTTTTGGCAGTTTGCAGATAAGCAATAAAGTTTCTTTCCTGTCTAACAACTTTTAAAACATTTTTGTTATCTTTTGATGAAATTATAGTTATACATTAGATTTGTACCCTAATGGCTATATTATTTTTTAAGAGAGTGACAATTTAGACTCTTTCGTGTTCATTTCATGCGAAACATTCTACTTCATTTTAGTAACATGTTAGCTAAATTCACAGGAACAAAGCTCTTGTTATGTATTAGTGTGTGTGTGTGTGTGTGTGTGTGTGTGTGTGTGTGTGTGTGTGTGTGTGTATGGTGCTGAGGATCAAATTAAAGGCCTTGGGCATGCTAGTCACCTGCTGTACCATGGAGCTACAACCTAAGCCTCATAAATATAATTTGAATTGTGGCTCCAGAATGGATTAGTCTCCCCAGGGTATGACATTTAAAAACCTTCAGAAGATCTTGATTCTGTAACTTGCTGTGAATGTAATTTGAATCAGTTTAGTTAACCTCTCTGCACTTCACGTTTTCATCTTTAAAGTGGAAAAGGCACTAGTACCTACCTGTGAGGTAAGGAAATATCTGTAGTGTAGAATTCAGCATAGTGAACTTCCATAGTAAGAAGGCCATCCCGCAGCCAAAGACAACTACAAACACAGCCCAGCACAGAACTGTAAGCTCACTTAAGGTGTTAAGAGGTATTGTCTTGTTTCTTTTTCCAACCTGCTTATGTGGTTCCCAAACACAAACTTTGTAGATGACATTGTATCATCACAATATCAAAAGGTTGGACATGCTTGAAAGCAATATAGTAGTAACTGTGATAATAACTGTGAACATTAGGAACAGCTAGTGTCTTGAAGATAAATATCAGATACCATTATTGGCATGTGCCCAGAATCTAGAACCATGTAGAAACACCATGCCTTTGTCATCCATACCTAGGGGAACCTCAAGGTCATATGCAGATGTGGATACAAATGTGTCTCAAAATTCTTCATTCTGCTCTCATAATGTTTTTGCCCTCAGTTGGGAACAGAACTAGGAAGAGTAAGATGTTGATATTTAGATGGGGTGATGATCATGTTATACAAGAATGTCAAGGTACATTGTTCCCAGCATGCTCCATGGAGTTATGGGCCAGAACATCACATGGAATACCATGATTAGGCTTCTGGAGTTACACACTGAGGTCCTGAGTCTGTAGTGAGAAATACTTTCTTAATGATCGTTCAAGAACTGCAGGGTGTGTTCGAAAACTAGGACAAGAATAGCATTTAAGACAGACTGTGTATTAAATAAGCTTTTTTTCTCAAATAACCTAAGAAACTATTTTAATTATTCATAAGGAAAAGCACTTCAAGTTCAAATTCACCATCAGCTTGAACTATAACCAAGGTCATTTTGGCCTTTTAAAAACTTTGCAATTCCATACATGTGTGTAATGTTATTTGATCAAAGATTCCTTCCCACTATCCTCTCTCTTATTCCCTTTCCCCTCTCACCAAATCTTTTCTTCCCAAGTCTTCTTACTACTTTCATGCAATATGTGTAAGGAAGAAGGGGGGGATTATTTGCTTGAGTGGGGGCAATATTCGAGTAGCTACACAACTCCAGAGTATGACTCCTTCAGTCCCTGCAATCTTTAATTCTTTACAGCTCCTTTGCAATGGGTGAGGCCTTATAAGCCCCTCCCCGATCCATGGTGAACTGGCGGGGGGCCCAGTCTTATGCATGTCTTCTATAGGAAATCACTGCTGCCCTGAGTTATTGGGTGCAACTGCCATGTCCTGTCCAGAGGACAGTGTTACACAGTGCTCCTTCCAGCTTCTCCAGCTCTTTTTTCTGTCCCTTCTTCCACCATGGTCCTTGAGCCTTGGAAGGGTGATATAAATGTCCTGTTTAGGGCCAATCACTTGTTCCCAGCACATTAAACAGTTACCAGTCTCTGCATTGACCGCTGCTCACTGCAAACAGAAGATTCTCTGATCAAAGCTGAGAGCAGTTTATGAGTATAGACCTGTTTAGAGGGAAGTTTGACAGCATGTCCATTTAGCAAAACAATAGTAGTAAATCCCCTCTCCCTCAGGACCCATGGCCTCCTCATTCATGGACTATGGATATATATAATTAAATTCTGCTATAAAGGAAAGTGAAACTTAAAAAAGAAAAGTGAAATTATGAAACTTGCAGTAAGGTAATGGAAATGGAAAATATACTGAGTGAGGTAACCCAGACCCAGAAAGACAGACATTGGGTGTTCTCACTCATTTGTAAATCCTAGCTTAGATTTTTTTTTAATTTGTGTGTTTAACTTGGAATACCTGTAGAGGCAGGAAGCCAGGAGAGTTTAACAGGCATATTAAGGAAGAACATAGAAATATGAAAGTAGAAGAGGGAATCCCTGGGGATAGAAAAGTTCAAGTAGGGTTGGGGTACAGGGATGGGGGAGACAAGGAGAGGGAAGGGTTAACCAAAGTGAAGGGTGTATGAAAAAGCCTTATGGAAACCTGCTAAGATGTAAGCCAATTTAAATATATAAGTTTATAAAAGATGTCTGAAGGTAGACATTTTCATGGCTCAATAATGCTGTTCCTAGAAGGTGTGGGTCATTAAAACTCTCAGTGCCCACTGTGGGATGCCCCCTTAGGAGCTGTTGGTCAAGGAAGCCCCAGAGGCCTCCCAAATAACACAGGTTCTTGATAATCCTCTTGGATGCCCACCAGAATCAATGATAAGACCCTGTTTTTGAAGGTGCCACATATTTTGGTTGTAAAACACAGAGAAACAAATTAGAACTGACTGGAAGCTTCCTCCTGCTGCCCAGCTTCATAGTGACAGAGGTGCTATCATGCTTCTGAGGGGAGATGCAAGTTATCAGTGGACTTACTCATCTGCGAACCCGATGAACTACGATACCAACCTAGCAGAGAAGATGTGCCCACTGGTGCAATAGTGGCTTGACTGTTATGGAGTGTATTAGTTCCTTTTGTATTACTGTGACAAAACACTATGACCAAGGCAACTTATAGAAGGAAGAGTTTATTTGGCTTATAGTCCTAGAGGGATAAGAATTCACTGTAGTTGGGAGACATGGTGGCAGAGATGGCCAAAGCAAAAAGCTGAATGCTTACATCTTTAAGCAAGCACAGGAGGACAAACTGGAAGTGGGTAAGGCTATGAACTCTCAAAGCCCACTGTCCTAGTTTGCTTCTTTATTGCTGAGATAAAACATTGACCAAAAACCAGCTTGGGGGAAAGTCTGTACTTCATCTCACTCTTTCAAAGTGATAGTCCGTCGCTAAGCCAAGGAACTCAGGGACCTGGAGGCAGGAGCTGAAGCACAGACCTCAGAAGAGCACTGTTTACTGGCTTGCTCCCCTGGCCTGTGCTCAGCCTGCTTTTTTGTAGGTGGCCAGTGGTGGCACCACCCACAATGGACTGGGCCCTCTCACATTAATTAACAAGGAAGAAAATGTCTCACAGGCATGCCAGCAGGCCAACCTAATAGAGGAAATCCCCAAATTGAGGTTCCCTCTTCCCAGGTGTGTCAAGTTGAAAACCAGAGCTATCCAGCACACCTGCCCCCATGACCAGCTTCTTCCAGCTAGGCCACACCCCCAAAACCTCCACAAACAGCCCCACCAACTACAGCCAATTGTTCAAATACCTGAAGTCTATGGAGGACATTTCTTATTCAAACCACCACACAGGGTAACCAATTGCTTCCTGTATAAGTACCCATCACTAACTGATTGCACCACCAGAGTCATCCAAATATATTCTGATTGGATTTTAGGCCCACTTCACAGGAGGAACTCATACCTGGCACCCAAACCCCAACCTAATTAAAACCTATATAGTTTTTTATTTTACTTAATTTTGATTGCATTTTATATTCTACAAAAGCTTTTGTGACCTTTAAAACTGAGAGGCAGAATTATTCCTAGGTTCATTTTTCTCTTTCGTGTGTGTGGTATATGAATATGAGTGTGCAGGTTCACACTCTGTACAGAAGCCAGTGGAGGGTGCTGGGTGTTTCTCTATCACTCTCTGCCTTGTTCTCTTGAAAAAAGATCTCTCACTGAACTGGAAGGACACATTTGGGTTAGGTTGACTGGTCAGTGAGATCTCAAGATACACCCATTTCTGTCCCCCTATATTGGGATTATGGGCACATGCATCCATACCTGGCCAGCCTCTTATGTGGGTTCTAGGAGTTTCAACTTGGGTCCTCATGTTTGCATAGCAAGCACTCTTATTCACTGAGTCATCTCTTATTCACTGAGTCATAGGTACATTTTAAAA